AGAAGAAGAAAACAAGGCAGTCAAATATAATTCAGAATTGATGGCCTTCAAACTTGTAGCTCAAGACATGAGCAATTGAAGCTTCAATAGCCATGGAAAAATATACTCGAGTCATCAATAAAATTAATGGTGAAATTATTTAACACAGGGAACACATTCATTTAATACAATTGTAAAATTATTGTTGAAAAAGTTGAAAAGAGGGGTAGAATTGAACCACAAAAAGTATAGAATTCACTCTCCTCTTCTCCTCTTATGTAAGTAAAGGTTCTGCGGAAAGTGAATGAGAAGTGTAAAAGAGGGGGAGGGAGATTGGTTGAGCTACATGAATACTTCAGAAAAAAAAGTTGTGGTTGTAATATAGCAAAGAACATAACACAACAAGCAACTACGTGTATCTTTTTTTTTCTCTTACAGAGCAGAACACAACAGAGCAGGAGCAGAGCAGAGGCCAGCAGAACATAAAACATCAAAAAAATGAAAATTAGCTTTTGTTACTGTAAATCCTCTGTCCACCCCCTGCCCCTCTCCCCCCCGGCATTTCAACTAACTCTCCCACTATAAATTGCTCTCCTCTCCCCCCTTATTATTAATCAAAAGTAAATTGTTCACTGCATTAAATATTATTCATGGCTGAATACTCCATGTGAACCTATCTGATATGGTTGGTGCTGGAATGTCAGTTTTGCCTCAAAATTGCTCCCAGCGTGCTCGTTAAAGTATTAAGGATAATTTGTCAAAAAAAAGAAGAAGAAGAAGACAATTGTAAATAAAAAAAGAAGAAATTTGAGGAAGTTGAGTAGTTTCTTTTCATATTATATAAATATTCAGGGCTGTGCTCTAGCAGTACCCAAAAGCCCCTGGCACCCTCTTTTTGCTCTTGAGCAATGGGGAAATCACTCTGGATTTCACAGGTTCAGAGCTCTGGGTTTCCCTTCAATATAAACTAGAGCACAGCCTTGTTACAATAATTACACTAATTATTGTGGATTTTTCAATACTATTTTAAAAAATGTATAAGCTTTGATAGAAAATCATATCGGTTACAGTACAAATCTGCGTGTAAGAACCTACATTTTTGAAGTCTATAAAGGAACTTGAGGTTGGTGCCTTTCAGCAAGGTCCATGAAGACAATTACAATCTGTAGTTTTTATAACCCTGTTTTTGTTCTGGAATTACAAGACTCACAGTGGTACAGTTTGGTACAGTATTTTCTTGTCTTATCAATTTGCAAACTTCAAACTCCTTTTTTAAGAACCTGCTTGATTTCTTTCGTTTTTGGTGCTAAAAAGGTTGTTATATATTCAGTATATTTGTGAGTATTAGGATGGCAAATTTCTGCCAGAAAGTTCTTAAACCTCTAGATTCTTGTATGCAGGTATTTTCTGAATGATAATCTTCCCAATCTTGTACTTCTTACAACTATTCCTGCTACTGCCAGAAAATAGGTAACCCTCTGCAACATGTACATTGGAAACACTAGAACATATTTCTTAGAAACGAGAAAAAATAATGTTGGGTTCACAGGCTGATCCAACGTGTTAACGCGCTTATGAGACGGCCAATACCGTTAGTACTGTCTATTCCTGAACTATAAAAAGTCAAAAGGCTGACTAACTTATACATATAATAATTATGTAGATGAAAATGAAATGAAACTTTAGTATTCAGAACAATGGATTGATGAGTAAAATAAAACAGCCGAATAAAAATTGCATAAATGACCATAATTTCAATACAGATTTAACAGTTAAAATACTGGAAAAAAAAATTTCGCAAAACAAATGTCCCTTTCAATTGTCAACAACCCTGACTACTAGTATCCCTTGCCGTGACTCATCGAGTAGTCTTCGTCGACACATCTTGTCTCGTCGAGTCATCGTCTCGTTGAGTCGTCCTCGTCGAGTCAACTTCATCGAGTCATCCTCGTCGAGTCATCGCCTCGTTGAGTCGTCGTCGTCGAGTCAACCGTGTCTCAGCGAGTCATCCTCGTGTAGTTATGGTGCCTCATCGAGTCATCCTCGCAGAGTCATCGAGTCCTCGTCGAGTCTTGGAGTGAGAATCGAGTCGTCCTCGTCGAGTGTTGAAGTACCGCTTGAAAACTCGAGTGTCTATTTATTTATTTTTGAGCGTCGGTAGAAAGATGACTCCGTTCCCAGAAACGGCGAGTGATCCTAAGCTTTCGGCGCAAGGAGGTCTGGGATCGCCTGGGTCCCCATCGCTTTTTGAAGCGTCGGCAGTCGGTGTTCTCTCTCTTCATCGGCTCCATTTGTCACGTAATTGTAGTATTTTTCGTCACTGTGTTGACGACGTTGCCTTCGCTGGGCTAAGCGATGTTGTCTGTGCTTTGCACGCGGCTTCTTGTTGTCGTTGTCTTCTCCGCTCGCGAGGAATTTTAGTCGGCGTTCTTCAGAGGTGTTTCGGTTGAAAATCGAGGATTTCCAGCCACTTGTTGTGCTTGTTGTCCTGTGTCATTTGAATGTGAAATTATTCGTGATTCACCGATCGTAAACATTGTTTCATAGATGAATAAACGCATCAGCCTTTCATCAATAATACATGGCAATGCGCTGGTCATCAGCGGCAAAGTCTATGTTGCCTGGAAACGCAAAATGCTCCATGACGTAGCGCTACATGACGTCATTGGCGGACACCAAGCATATGTTCAGAGAAAGAAAGATTTATTTATTTACGGCGCATCGCATTTTGCATCTGGCTAACACCACACGCGGTTCACGTGATGCACGTGCGCTTTGCGCGCGACGAGATTATAAACTCGCTTCGCGAGAATAATTTGCCAACACCGGGTTACGTTTTAAAGATAAAGTACAAGTGATAGTTCAAGGTTTGTGAGGGCTCTACATATTGATTCAGGTGTTTTAACTACCTCTTACAAAATTCATATTTAACTGCCTACATTAACTTTATTATGGTTAAGTCAAAAATGTCTTATTTCTTCCTCTCTTAATAGTATTCATTTTTGGTAAGTTGAGTAATCGAGTATTTACTTCATCAAAACGTGCCTTCGTTCTTGTGTGGCTCTTGATGATTCAAATTTTTGCTTATTATTTTTTTAGCTCCTCACGTTTAACAGTCTTTTTTTAAAATAATTTTGTAAAGTTTTAAGCAGTCTATTACAAAACAAGAACGCTCTTAGTAGCGTTGAGTCTCGCTTGCTTGGAGATGAGTTTTAATGTCAAAGGCCCCGGTGCCGTTATACTACCTTTTTCGTTTGGGATACAAAACGAGTGTTGTATGTCATAATGTTTATTATATACATACTGAGAAATACTCACCAAAAAGCTATGTCGTAAATTTTCGTACGCAAATGAGTACTAGCCAATCAGAGGAGCGAACGATGGTTTTCACACGTGAAAAAAATGATACGTCCAATCAGAATCGCGAACGATGTTTTTTCACGTGTGAGAAAAATGATACGTCCAATCAGAAGCCACAGAGGTGTGTGAGTTTCGCGCCAAAATTCCCGCCTTTTATTGCAGCTTGCAGCGCCGCTTCGCACACATTCAACGAGAAAAGTCTTACTCAAAGAGTTTTTCTCACTAAAAAAGTGAAAAACATTTCGGAAATGGAGTGGAATAGTTTCGTTTGTTTCACTGTCGATAAAGAAAACGGTAGACAGCCGGCGAAAGAACAACGGAAAGGGAAAAACAGAACGAGACGTAAGCTTTTGTTGTGCTTTTTGTCGGAGCTACTTTGCCTTCATTTAATCTTAAGCTTATATTGAAACCGACCATTTTACTTAAATTCACTCATGTTCAATTGTGCATTGAGAACAAACAGTTAAGATTACTTATAGTTCTTGGATTACCCCATATCCTTACCGTCATTTATGTTTTTAACAAACGTTTTTACCAAAAAGCTGATACTTCGTTTTCGTTGTCATTTTGCGGTAAGTGTGTAGCGGCAAATTTTAGCATTTTTGAAAGATTTAAAATAAAAAGGCCGTCAAAATGATGAATGTCTCAGTATGTATATAATAAACACAATACCACATGGAAAGTGCTGGCGTATGGTTGCCGAAATGTAGCAAAATTCGATGAAAATTATTTTCATTCGATAAAAATATATTTGCATTCGATAAAAATTATTTTCATTCGAAAAAAATATATTTTCATTCGATAAAAATATTCTTATGCGATAAAAATATATTTTCATTCGATAAAATATATATTTCCATTCGTTAAAATATATTTTCATTTGACACAAAAAAAATGTTTTTATTCAATAAAAATAATTTTCATTTGATATAATGTTTTCATTCGATAAAATATATTGCCATTCAATGGAATATTTTCATAGGGTAAAAATATTTTCATTCGATAAAAAATATATTTTTATCCCAGAATGTCACGTGGTACTTGTTAGGCCTGGTCGCATAGGACCGATTCGCGCCAAAAATGGTTCGCCTGTCTTAGCCCGGTCTGTTTTGTTGTCGCACTCTGTCGCAGCTTTTTCACAGCTTCACTCAGCTTCACGAAAATGGATTTGAACCGGTCAATAATTCGTTCCGAGGTGAGACAAGCGTTGGAGGAGTATATGCAGTCGAATACCAATAGATCTGCAAATGCAGGGGAAACAGGAAGACTGGAAGGTAGTTGTAAATTAATTTTTTTCAGTGTACCGCCTTGTTTATGCTTTCTTTAAATGTATGAACAGACGAGAGCAGATCTCAAATCGAATTATTTTAGCCGTAAACTTGTTATTTACAGCTTCCCCACAGAACACAAGTACAAGTACAACTAGCCAACGGCTAAACTCTCAAATTGGACAGGTTGTAAACCGTGCCAGGGATATTTTAAGGAGCAATCGATCGTCATTCACACGAAATGCCAGCACGTCGTTTCAGAATGGCGCCACTAGCGCGTATCCTAAAAGACCCCGATTGTCGGGGGCTTCACGTTATGGAAATGTTCTTCCCAAGGATGTGGTTAAAACGGTTGTGCTCTTGGAAAATTCTGGTTCTTCAAACGAATATCCT